TTTCATTGAAGATAACCATTAAACTTTTAAGTTACGTAAATCATTTAATTGTTTGAAATCTAATGAGAAGTTCCATACCCGCATTGAGAAAGAATCAACATGATACGATGACCAACGACCATTCGAAGCATTCGCTAGGCATGCTTGCGGGCTAGTTGGCCTGCTAGGCAATCTTTTGAGTACTTTAAGGTATTAGCATTTGTTTAACAGATTTTTTACAAATGAAAAATCTTACTGCAGTTCTATAAACCTTATCATTAAGAGGATTTCTATTAAGTTTGGGTCTAATAATTCCTACTCTGATGTCTTGAACACAACGTCACACGGCAACAACAATAACAAAAAAAAAACAGGATGTTTCTGTGTAGAAAATGATTCGAATGAAAACGCATTCGAAATCAGCAACCTAGAGACCTGAACAGAAGTATATGTTAATCTTCCAGGATTCGTATTTAATTTCCGCTTTAAAATTAGAAAATCATTTCATTTTTGGCGTATGCATTCTACCAACAATCAGGATGATTCATACTTCGTTTACAGCACTAATTATCCATGACAGCTGATCTCGTGTGGACATCTAAAGTACATCTACCTGGTGCTTAAGTGCACCACCCACCGCGAAGGCAGGGATTACGGAATTCATTTACCATTCAGTTACGCTTTTTTCTTTCAAGTAAAAGGAATGTTTTGCCCTAAAGCTTGGGTTAAAAAGCTGTTTTTTCAAGCTACGAATCAGTGCGTGCCTATACGAAGGAGGATGAAGCACTGGTGTTTACATTAAGATGCACACTCATGCATAATATCTCAACATCTTTACTTTTTACCACCTCCATATTTTGCTCAGAGCCCATTACAAACGTTGTAATCAAAGAAAATGGAATTTTTTCTTTTTCTTTTAATCGCAAACATAAGTTGACACGTCCTCTCCAGACACCGCCAAAATTGCACTCAACATACTTTTCCACCGCATTATTTGGAAATCTGCAAAGATTTAATACTGCGCTTCCAAATACCTTCAACGCCAGTTTTATTTTTTGACCAAAAACTTCGGTTTGCTCTCATTTCGCATCATTTTTCTAGTTTCCCCGAAAGTGCTAAACCAACATATAAGCAACTCAACCGCTCGCAGTTCCTAGCAGTTGCATCCTTTCTACCTTTGAAAACGTCAGAATGCTCCTGCCTTTCTGGGAAATCTCTTGTAGACAAAACATCGACAATGATCAATCACAGGTTACAAAGAAACAAATAAACATACATCTTAGAAACACACTTAATCACTATTTACAAAATTACACACATACCACACACACCATACGCACATACACCACATACCGACGACATATACCTAGAGACATACCACGTAGATGAAATCGAGATCTGGACGCTATATGAGAGAGCGATGACGGCATGCAAAAGTGGCCGACAACTAGTGTTTTCTCTTTGTGTCTCCTCAAATTCCGTAACAACAACGATTGTTGTCTTTTAACTACACAGTACCCACTGCTGCTCTGACAATTTGCCATAAAAAACGAAGTTAAAGCCGAGTCATAGCAATCCAGCACTTCAGATGCAGTCTCACGTCTGAAGTGCTGGATTGCTATATTTTGGCTCGAACTTCTCCACTTGAAATTTAATTTAGATTTTAAAATCAGCATCTTCCAATCTATCAAGGTGTGATTTTGAAAATGTGAGTTTCCACAATTTTTATGATTTATTTGACGTCATGAATAACTGGTGCACTTCCGCTGCTGACAGCTCAGCAGCCCGAGCAACTCTTCTGATTATATCCTTAAGCACTAATTATTCCATAGAACGCTAATAAAATTCGAGGTGCTTTCAAAGGAAGAATTTTTCGAGATAGGATTCTGACTATCTCTATTCTGTCTCTCAAGTTCAGAAATTCTCCGAGTTTTTGAGTTAGAATGTAAAATACAATATTCTTGAAATTACACGTACCTTCCGAATTTACATCTTAGATGTTTAGGTTTAACACTAAAATACTTTCAAAGTATCTGCACCATTTTCATCCTTATCG